ATATATATATATATATATATATATATATATATATATATATATATATATATATATGTGTGTGTGTGTGTATTCCGGTCAATACAGATGGCTATATGCTGATGCTGCGAAACAGTAAAATCCCCAAAATACCCGATATGCACAATAGAGCGTTTGATTCCGTCTACACCTTTTATTATTTTCTCGTGTCGACGGAGTAGTCCTAATCGGCCTGCCAGGGTAAGAAATAAAACGTAGTGGGCAGATGCATACTGCGCGGCGACAGCCACTGGAGGGAGTCGAAGGATGCTGGTAATGGTTTTTATAGTGATGATGTGAGGGAGACGTCAGTCCATTCCTTGACCACAATAATTAAGAATCAAATTAATCAAACAAATTACTTCAATCGATGTAGGAATAAGTGAGCCTCAAAGCACCAGCTCGCCCCGAATTCGCCTAGCTTTTACTTCACCGCCGAGTTATATTCAAGGCTAATTTAAATACAGGCGACTGATTTGTTAGTATACATAATAAAGGGCCAAAACTGGTTTTAATAGAGTATATGATCGTCATATACAAGCAGCAATAGTGGAATATGTTAATACTAAATAATAATATACACTTGAAAAAAAGCGGCAATACTAGAATTCTACTACAAGAAATTGTACTAGACTTCCACTCTATCGTGTTAAATTTTTCATCTTTTGTCTGCGTAGGAACAAATATGTAAAACAGAAAACGGTAGTCTTTAAGTAACTAATAAACCCTATGCACTTACCCTAAGATATTCTGCACGTAATATCTCAGCCTAAAAGCAAAGTCTTCAGAATAAGTGAGCGAAACTGAGTTGTTTCTGCTTAGGCAAGTTTCGCCTTTTCCGCTTGTTAAAGAGTTTCACCCTAGTTGTCGTTGAAAGATGAATTGTTTCGGTTTTTTCAAGTGTCCTGCCGATGAAAAAAAAATGCACTTTCCCGGTTGTATGGCTGTAAACTGAATTAGTATCCGCAGAGTGCAGCATCTTTCTCGGGAAAGGGTTCCCTCCTGAATGCTGTGAACTGAATTGCTCCTCGGGTGTCTGGTTTTCCGTCAAGAAAAGAGTTGGATTGTGTCTATCGAGAGGAGTTTTTTTTTATAAGGAAGGAGTTTACTTCTGCTTGTTGCTGTAGACCGAATTGTTTCTGAGGAGTCAAGCGTCCTGCGGGTGAAGGAGTTTCCCTCCGTTTCCTGTTGTTATTGTGCTGAAATTGCCGTGAGGTTTCAGCCAGGGACCCGAAACAGCTCAAAGAAACATAGGGAAATTAAGAAAGGACTAAAACTATTTAAATCATAGATCGCCACTTCAGTGATGCCTGTACTGCAACTTGAATCCAGACACACTCCTACGTGTGATAGCCAGGCGCCCGAGCGGGACAAAACGGAGAAAATAGTGGCTGAAGAAAGTGATATAAAAATACAAGAAAACTTTAATTAACTAATTTTGCGTTTCATTTTTTTAATTGAATGCATTCGCGCTAATACGACAGCTTGAGTTGCCCGTGAGCGGACCACTCGACAGCCTCATGGCTCTCGAACGGACAAGCCGTTGTAGCAAGAGCGAGAGTGCATGCATGCGGCGAAATATGGAGAAAAGTAGGCCGTTTGTTAATATTTTGTATTTGTTTGATATTTTCAAGATTGGAACAGGCTCTGTGTGCAACTGCTTGTCGTTTAAACGCATTATGTCTTCCGCCTGGGAAGAGGGAAAGAAGGTCTAGC